TGGCTTCTCAAGGTTATATGATACTACTACCGTCAAAGGTCACTTGTGGTTGACATTGAATTTAACGAGTAATTTCTAATATGATATTTCGTTGGTCACGTTCTCTTGATAGTGATATTATCTATTGACTCAAGTAATTAAAATAAATTCCCTTAATATCAGTTAGGAGATAATTTCAACTTAAGAACCATTTGAGAATCCAACTTTTTATCGTAACTTAAATGAAGTATATCAGAGCGTTGTTGTATCTATGACTTAAAACTAACTTTACGATCTTTTGAGAAACTATCTTTATGCCGTAGCTTAAGTGAATCATACCTTTTGATATTTACACTTACGAGGATTTTTCTTTTTTTGACGTACGAGGTTTTGAGAATCTATATATATGTATCGTAGTGTAAGTGAATTAGTTGTATTGTAGTGTAAGTGAATTAGTTGTATTGTAGTGTAAGTGAATTAGTTGTATTGTAGTGTAAGTGAATTAGTTGTATTGTAGTGTAAGTGAATTAGTTGTATTGTAGTGTAAGTGAATTAGTTGTATCGTAGTGTAAGTGAATTAGTTGTATTGTAGTGTAAGTGAATTAGTTGTATCGTAGTGTAAGTGAATTAGTTGTATTGTAGTGTAAGTGAATTAGTTGTATCGTAGTGTAAGTGAATTAGTTGTATCGTAGTGTAAGTGAATTAGTTGTATCGTAGTGTAAGTGAATTAATTGTATTGTAGTGTAAGTGAATTAGTTGTATTGTAGTGAATTAGTTGTAGTAGTGTAAGTGAATTAGTTGTATCGTAGTGTAAGTGAATTAGTTGTATTGTAGTGTAAGTGAATTAGTTGTATTGTAGTGTAAGTGAATTAGTTGTATAGTAGTGTAGTGAATTAATCGTAGTGTAATTGAGTTAGTTAAAGTGAATTAGTTGTATTGTAGTGTAAGTGAATTAGTTGTATTGTAGTGTAAGTGAATTAATTGTATTGTAGTGTAAGTGAATTAATTGTATCGTAGTTAAAGTGAATTAGTTGTATTGTAGTGTAAGTGAATTAGTTGTATTGTAGTGTAAGTGAATTAGTTGTATTGTAGTGTAAGTGAACTAGTTGTATTGTAGTGTAAGTGAATTAGTTGTATCGTAGTGTAAGTGAATTAGTTGTATCGTAGTGTAAGTGAATTAGTTGTATCGTAGTGTAAGTGAATTAGTTGTATTATAGTGTAAGTGAATTAATTGTATCGTAGTGTAAGTGAATTAGTTGTATCGTAGTGTAAGTGAATTAGTTGTATCGTAGTGTAAGTGAATTAGTTGTATTATAGTGTAAGTGAATTAATTGTATCGTAGTGTAAGTGAATTAGTTGTATTGTAGTGTAAGTGAATTAGTTGTATTGTAGTGTAAGTGAATTAGTTGTATTGTAGTGTAAGTGAATTAGTTGTATCGTAGTGTAAGTGAACCAATTGTATCGTAGTTAAAGTCTCTCAGTTTGAATTTCTGCAGACCATCACCTTTCCGCTCGCCTCTCACACCGCCAGTCTCCAGTAAGTATAAGAGCGAGAGTGTGAGAGTGAGTGAGAGAGTGAGGCAGTAACTCAAGCAGTGACCTGGATCTTGCACCTGGAGAGAAAGTGGTCAGTCAGATCTACCTGGCTCGTCTTTCTGGTATATAAAATGTCAGGGTTACCACCACATCAACACAGATTCTAAATACACTTGATAATCAATAAATGGATTGTTGATTATTCTTAAGTTAGGTGATTGATTAAATTAGTCCTGTGATTGATTAAAGCAGTCCACAGGGGGAGGGGGGGGGTGGTAACCGATGAATTTCAGAATGAACACTACGACTCCTGTTGTCTCGGTAAGGTTGTCACATTATTTCGTCCTTTTGGTGTGATATTGTCTAACCATATACTGTACACCCACTACACCCACTACACCCACTAAACCTACGTTACCGCCACCCACTACACCCACTAAACCTACGTTACCGCCACCCACTACACCCACTAAACCTACGTTACCGCCACCCACTACACCCACTAAACCTACGTTACCGCCACCCACCCCAGTTAGAAAAATAAATAAAAGTGCTAAGTTCACCCATCAAAAAGTTCAGTATCTCTCTTACCCACCCACCCACCTACCTAACCCACCCCCCACCTAACCCACCCCTCCCCCCCCACCTAACCCACCCACACCAAATACTCCAGTAACCCGAATAAACGAAAGGTCAATCTCCCTCCCCCCCAAAAAAAAATATATTATTATTTAAATATAAAGAAAAAGGTGTTTAGTACCATCTTCATCATTAAGACAGATGGAAGTAAAGGTGATGGATAATGTCAGTGTGTCGTGGTTAAGGTAACTTTATCATCTGTTTGGTAAATGTCACGTCTTAACACGAAACTTTAACCCTTTGAGGAGTAATGTTTTCGCTGAGGTATTCTGTGCTGCCTAACGTTCGATGATTTTCTTTAGCTGAGTAAAACTTCCTCTAACTCATTTTGTTAATAATAATAATAATAATAATAATAATAATAATAATAATAAGCTTTCTCAAACAAACCTTCACAGCACAACCATGAATTATAACAGACAACTTTCTAACACTGACAAACTCACATGTTTCCTTATTGCACTGAGGTTCCAATATATGACCTTTGACCTCTGCAACATAGACCAAAAAAAAAAAAAAACAATAATCATATATATATATCTGTATGTTACTCAAGGTTACCAGGATGTTACCATGATGTTTGAAGTCGTGTCTAGATCGATCCTAACGTGATGGAATGCTTGACGCAGAATCCCAGCTACGGCACTGAGATTATTTTGACCTCTGATAACAGTAACACAACGGCACAAGTTCTAAACCTGTTTTGTAGGTGTAATTATGAGTGGTGTTGTTCTGTTATGTTAAATCGTGTCTTGATCTTTGTGATATGAAAGATTGTCGGGAGAAAATTTTACACAATAATGCAATACTGTTTGACCTCTCACCGCTGATTCCTGTACCACACCACACAGCTATCATACAACACCACACAGCTATCATACAACACCACACAGCTATCATACAACACCACACAGCTATCGTACCTCACCACACAGCTATCGTACCACACCACACAGCTATCGTACCTCACCACACAGCTATCATACCTCACCACACAGCTATCATACCACACCACACAGCTATCGTACCTCACCACACAGAAGTATCGTACATAACTACTCCCAGTCTACCACCGTCAGCTAACATCAACCACGATACACCCAATCAGTGTTTACAAACTGACTTACGGCCAAACTGACTTACGGCCAAACTGACTTACGGCCAAACTGATTCACGGCCAAATTAACTCACGGCCAAACTAACTCACGGCCAAACTAACTCACGGCCAAACTGACTCACGGCCAAATTGATTCGCTGACACATGGGTAGCGGTGTTTCAAGAGCCAATGAATGACGTACATAAGATTTAAAATAAACCTATGAGCCAGATAGCTGTGTGGTGTGGTACAATAGCTGTGTGGTGAGGTACGATAGCTGTGTGGTGAGGTACGATAGCTGTGTGGTGAGGTATGATAGCTGTGTGGTATGGAACGATTAGTACTGAATCTATCACCCAAACGCGCTAGTTATTTATGTAAGATCTTCATTTTCAACATTCAAGGTCTATATCCTATTACGGTCCGAATATAACTACTTTTTGAGAGTGTGTGGGGGAGAGGTGAGGGTGTGTGGGGGGGAGGTGAGGGAGTGGGGGAGGTGAGGGGTGTGGGGAGGTGAGGTGGGGGGAGGGTGGGAGGAGGTGGGGAGAGGTGAGGTGTGTGGGGAGGTGAGGGGGTGGGGGAGGGAGGGAGGGGTGAGGGTGTGGGGGAGGTGAGGGGAGAGGTGAGGGTGTGGGGGGGAGGTGAGGGTGTAGGGGGGGTGAGAGGGAGAAATGAGGGTACACTGTATAAACCACAAACTTAACTACCACTTAAACAACGAGTCAGCAGTAACAAAAACATAAAACAGTGTAAAACCCTCAGTTGGTGTCTGGCCTCAGGTAAAACACAAGGTAAACCTCCTGTGCAAGGTCATTCCGGGCTGTACCTGAGTGACTCCTCCACACACACACACACACACACACACACACACACGTTAGTTACATAAACACTGAATGTTTATATTGAGAATCGGGTCTTGTTTATACGATTCTGATTTAGTATTTATATAGAATATCTGGGTTTGTATATATAACCCTGAGTTTATATAGATATATGACTGACCTAAGATTGGAAATTATGATTGGCCAGTCACGTTAAAGGATAATGAGAGGTCAAATACCAGCTAATAGGGGGTTAAATACCAATCACAGGCGTTGAGGACCAGCCAATAGGATAACAAGGAGTAGAAAGGTGGGTTATCGGCCAGCCAATAAGATAACAAGGACTAGAAAGATGGATCAAAGGCCAGCCAATAAGATAACAAGCATTAGAAAGGTGGGTTATCGGCCAACCAATAAGATAACAAGGATTAGAAGGTGGGTTAACGGCCGACCAATAAGGTGCCTTGGTGTAGTGGACGTTAAGGACCAGACAGCGGAAGTGAACGGTAAAATAAAATACACAAACTCAAGTGGTCAAATCAATTTAGAATGAGACAGCCAACTTTTTCCTCCAGTAACATATTTTCTTAACTGGTGCTGCTCAAAACAAGTTCACTTTTGTCTCGTGTTCAAGGCTGTGGGCAGCTTATTGAGGGAGGACCAATTATAGTATCTTCCTACGCTATACCTGGACTCAGCCGCTGAGTCCAGGCTATCTTTTTTTTTTTTTTTGCTTTTAGCCTCACTTGTAAAATATGGTGATCGTCATTTGGATACAGTTTAGAGAATCATTATCTGGGGTTTATTTTAATATTTCATCGTCGAGGAAGTTAAAATGTGATGGGAAAGTGCGATGATCAGTCACTGGGTAGTAGTGAAGCATAATTGAACCTGGCTGACATTTACCCGGGCGCCGACTGGACCATCGACAGCCAGTCTACACCAGCACGCCGTCTCGCGTACCCACACTCCTCTACATCTCGCTGAGTCAGGGTGACATTTCTGAAGTGTTGTAACTTTACGAGTGAACTGCAGCACTGAGACAAATTCCTAAACCTGATGATCTAACAGGAAATACGCTGAATAGTAGAAGTTGTCGTGGTTCTGTAGTCTAGTTGAAACCAGGGAGTAGATATGGCGAGCAAGGGATCTATATTGCTACACATGGCAGCAGTGGTTGTGGTCGTGAGTGGTCAAGGAGTAATCCCAGGCGTCCCTAACTTCTGTATCGATCCTCCACAGAAGGGAATCTGCCGCGCTAACATCCCTTCCTTCCACTACGACTCCGAGACAAGAACCTGTGACTGTTTCGTGTATGGTGGGTGTATGGGCAACGACAACAGGTTCTCCACCCTCGCTCAGTGCATGGAGACTTGTGGCGTCAACCCCACCCTGCAGGAAAACACGGACAGGTGTGACCAGGTCCTTGGCAACAGTAACCCACTCGCGAAAAAAGAAGTGTTGGATGCTATTAAAGGGATGATCCCCGTCGTACCTGAAGATGCTGAAGAAGCTCAACAAGTTCCACCTCCTCCGCTGATTCCTGACTACTGCTTCGATCCTCCCGAGGCGGGGTTCTGCCGCGCTTACATCCCTTCCTTCCACTACGACTCCGAGACAAGAACCTGTGACTGTTTCGTGTATGGTGGGTGTATGGGCAACGACAACAGGTTCTCCACGCTGGATGAGTGCCTCCTCACTTGTGGTGTTCGACCCAGCCGACAGCAGAATACCGCCAACTGCGACAGGGTCCTTGGAAGTAACAACCCGCTAGCTAAGAAAGAAGTGTTGGATGCTATTAGGGAGACGCCTCAGCCAAAAAGTGAACACCCCCAGCAACCAACACAGCAACTCCTACAGCCCCAGCAACTCCAACACTCCCAGCAACCATCACAGCAACTCCTACAACCCCAGCAACCATCACAGCAACTCCTACAACCCCAGCAACCATCACAGCAACTCCTACAGCCCCAGCAACCATCACAGCAACTCCTACAACCCCAGCAACCATCACAGCAACTCCTACAGCCCCAGCAACCATCACAGCAACCCTGCAACCATCACAGCAACTCCTACAGCCCCAGCAACCATCACAGCAACTCCTACAACCCCAGCAACCATCACAGCAACTCCTACAACCCCAGCAACCATCACAGCAACTCCTACACCCCCAGCAACCATCACAGCAACTTCTACACTCCCAGCAACCATCACAGCAACTCCTACACCCCCAGCAACCATCACAGCAACCCCTACAACCCCAGCAACCATGTCAACAAACCCAACATTTGGCAGCAACCACACAGACGTCGAGGCAGGAACAGGTAGAGGAGACGATGAAGAGCCATAGAGTAATGGGCCAGCTATTAGACTCCTCGGGGATCCACGTTGGGTCACTGTACGTGGGCAAGCCAGTCTCTATCCCCGGCTTCCTCCCGTGAGCAGACGCTGGCCAACAGACAACAGCCTTCCTTACACTGGCTACGGCTTGAAGTCTTCCTGCCACACGGACACACTCAACACTGAACAGAAAATATCAGTAGTAATGGATGTATAAGAGGACTAACTAGGGGTCCACAATGTTCAGTTTATTGTTGACGTTTTAGGGAACTTCTGTCCGTCACCAGAAGTTGAAACAGAAACACCTTGACAGTTACACGTGTTCTGAGAACCAATTGTTTTGTTAACTTCACATTAATTGTAAGTGAAACATTTTGTGTTAATTTAGATCATGGTGTTGGAAGGAACATCAGCGATAAAGACTCAACATTGTCAGGATGTTTACATCGTATCAGCTGATCCTCTTAATGTAACACAATGTTTACCATGTAACAAGTCCAGTGTTAAATTTGTATAATTTATTTACTGCACCATTCCATTGTTACCATATTGACAGGGTAAGTGTTGCCAGATATTACAGATATTTATATCACAACTTTTGGAACACTATCTAATATACTATAGGACTAGGCGTGTGTCTGTCTGTCTGTCTGTCTGTTCTGGGCAGCCGAAACGGCACAATCGTTTTTCATCAAACTTGGCGGAAAAATCGCAAAAAATTCGTAGAGTGAAACAAACCTGGTCCCATGTCGATGGTTTCTTTAGGAAGGCATTAATTAACTATTTTATTTACGATGGAAAACGATGCAAGTCTACGGACTTGGCGCACCCTCATTCGCTTTACACTGTCACGAGCGTTCAAACTTTCACTGGGCACGAAGGGCCCGCGATCACTTGTAATAACTATAAGTATTATAAGTACAATGTCAGGAGTTTTATTTTCACTGTAAGTTGTTGTTGTAATTTACTGTATCAAATTATTATAGATAAAAGAAGATATTTTAACTGTATTTCTCTATCCCAGAGTATTATTAATGTGAGTCAGTGAAGTTAGTTTTTGTAGAGCGAGGTGAGGTTAGCTTAGGAGAGGTGAGGTTAGGTTAGGGTGGGTATTCTTCAGTGTGAAATAATCTTTGGGGGATGATTCTTCAAGTTATCTCAATTCTTACACAATACCTAAGTCACAATCCACACAATCGAACAATCACCTCGATACATCTTAAACCTGACTTGTCTCTATGTTTTTATGAAGCCAAATCTTGTTTACTCATCAAAACCAGATTATTTGTTTGAACTTGTGGCCAAAGATAAAGACTATATTGAGTGTTGTATGGCAGATGGGAATACAGATTATACTTAATTGTATTGTATGACGATCACATGAAAATTAGGCACCCCAGTTAATTTGACCTAACTTAATCTAACCTAACCTAGTTAATTTGACCTAGTGCTTGACCCTCATAGTAACCTAACCTAACCATGAAAACATATAATGCAAACTCGTCATTGTCCAACACAGTTCACGTCTTGGTAACACACACACACACACACACACACACACACACAAAAGAGTCCCCACTGTATGCTATCGTTAAAGAGACCTTCATTATGCTCTAAATTTCATCATTAATTAACCATAAATAAAAGCTTGATGACGTCACCAGTCCACCACACTCAGCTTTCACATATTAAGTTGATGACTCACTCTCCCCTCAGCCATCGTATGTAGTTCAAGTCTAGAAAAACTGGATACATATATCAATAATTCGCCCCTAAAATGGTACCAAGGATGTTTCACAGTTAACAGGTATAAATTGGCATCACTTTTATACAGCTTAGTTATCTGAAGCAGTCGACGGGGCTGTGGTCTATATTATGTAGTGTGGGACGACAAATAACATGATCAATCTCGTTACTACAGGAGAAACTACATGTCTGAAATTGTCATAACTGAGACTTCCTTTTATTGAAACCCAAAGGAAAGAATTTTATATTCAGAGACAATTTGGGTCATAGGAGGATCAAATTCGCTTAAATACAAATAGAAGTGTCCTTGTTCATTTTTTAAGCCTCTTGTATTATGCAGGAAATTGTAAAGGGACGTTTAAATCCTGTTTCTTCATGGACATCTGTAGCAATGAGTGATCTTGAACCTAAGCTCACATTTATATATTTAAATACCCCAGCGCCGCCCTCCACCTCTCAGTCAACATTCGGACGTTGTCTCGTGAACTATTTTAATTATCTGAATCTGTAGCAACTCGCTGCCTCAAAGTGATCAGTTTTTATCAGAGGTGAAGTGCTGCTGGTTAACACCCAACGCTTACTCTACAGTACAAGTTTCCTAATGCTGATGAAGTACTGTTGGTAAAGATGGAGATATAGAAGAAATCGGGTGTGACTTTAATTGTATTTTCGTTTGGAATTAAACTTATGGGAGAAATGGAGACCAAGAGATATATTTTGTTCACCTTGGCCACCATGGTTGTGGTAGTGAATGGTTACAAAGTGACTAAACTGTTTCCTAACGTCTGTTACGACAGTCCAGATCCAGGACCCTGCAGGGCTTTTATCCCTTCCTACTTCTACAACCCCAAGACAAATATCTGTGACTGTTTCGTTTACGGCGGGTGTCAAGGCAACGACAACCGATTCCCCGACCTAGAGCAGTGCTTGGAAACTTGTGGTGATGAATCCTACCAAGAGGTGATAACAGACAAGTGTGTTTCTCTCTTTAATGTAGTAAACCCGCAAGAAGAGGAAGACGTGTTGGACCAGTATGGATCACAAACCCATCAGGTTCCTAACCTCTGTTTCGATCCTCCAGTAACGGGACTCTGCCGTGCCCACTTCCCTCACTTCTACTTCAACAGTGAGACACAAACCTGTGACTGTTTCGTGTACGGTGGGTGTGGCGGTAACAACAACAAGTTCTCCACGCTGGAAGAATGCCTCACTACTTGTGGTGGTCAACCCAGCCAACAGCACAATACCGAAAGTTGTGACAAAATCCTTGGAAGTCAAAACCCACTAGTGAACAGAGAACCGTTGGTTAATGTCACCTTGTTGCCTGAGACACAACAAACGATTCAGGAAACACAAGAGCCACAACAACTGACTCAGGAAACACAGGAGCCACAACAACTGACTCAGGAAACACAAGAGCCACAACAAACGATTCAGGAAACACAGCAGATGTCAGAGCCTCACCAAGAATCTCAACAGATGACAGAGCCTCAGCAGAAAACTCATCAGGTTCCTAACCTCTGTTTCGATCCTCCAGTAACGGGACTCTGCCGTGCCTACTTCCCTCAGGTTCCTAACCTCTGTTTCGATCCTCCAGTAACGGGAACTTCCCTCACTTCTACTTCAACAGTGAGACACAAACCTGTGACTGTTTCGTGTACGGTGGGTGTGGCGGTAACAACAACAAGTTCTCCACGCTGGAAGAATGCCTCACTACTTGTGGTGGTCAACCCAGCCAACAGCACAATACCGAAAGTTGTTACAGAATCCTTGGAAGTCAAAACCCGCTAGCGAACAGAGAACCGTTGGTTAATGTCACCTTGTTGCCTGAGACACAACAAACGATTCAGGAAACACAAGAGCCACAACAACTGACTCAGGAAACACAACAACTGACTCAGGAAACACAAGAGCCACAACAACTGACTCAGGAAACACAAGAGCCACAACAACTGACTCAGGAAACACAAGAGCCACAACAACTGACTCAGGAAACACAAGAGCCACAACAAACGATTCAGGAAACACAGCAGATGTCAGAGCCTCACCAAGAATCTCAACAGATGACAGAGCCTCAGCAGAAAACTCATCAGGTTCCTAACCTCTGTTTCGATCCTCCAGTAACGGGACTCTGCCGTGCCTACTTCCCTCACTTCTACTTCAACAGTGAGACACAAACCTGTGACTGTTTCGTGTACGGTGGGTGTGGCGGTAACGACAACAAGTTCTCCACGCTGGAAGAATGCCTCACTACTTGTGGTGGTCAACCCAGCCAACAGCACAATACCGAAAGTTGTTACAGAATCCTTGGAAGTCAAAACCCACTCGCTGATATCACGTTGTTGTCTCAGAGAGAAACTCAACAACCCCAACAACCAACTGAGGAGGAGACGCAACAGTCGGCAGTCGCGACACAAACGCTGGGAAGGGAAAACAAGGAAGAGGAGTCAACAGGGAGCCACGGGGTAACGAGCCAAAAGTTTGGTTCCTCAGTAATCCGTGCTGGATCAATCTACGTGGGCAAGCCAGTCTCTATCCCCGGCTTCCTCCCGTGAGCAGACGCTGGCCAACAGACAACAGCCTTCCTTACACTGGCTACGGCTTGAAGTCTTCCTGCCACACCGACACACTCAACACTGTACAGAAAATATCAGTAGTAATGGATGTATAAGAGGACTAACTAGGGGTCCACAATGTTACTGAATCATAAAATACAACATCCCGCCCTCACAACCTCCCAACTCCTTATATCACAACTTTTGGAACAATATAATGCCAAGAGTTACTGTGTTCATTGTTGTTATTTACTGTAACCAATTATTATAAAAAAAAACAAAATAAACACTGAACTGCATTTCTGTATCCCTGAGTATTATTATTGAGAGAATCAGTGAAGTTTGTTTTTTGTATTCGTGATGAAATATGAGCAAATGATTACCTCAAGTATTACCTGTACTTGGGATGAAGGATGAATTTCAGAATGAACACTACGACCCCCTGTTGTCTTGGTCGGGTTGGTCATAATCCTTCGTCTGTTAAGTCATATTTCTTCAACACTTGCTGACGTCATGGAGCTGGTATAAAAGTCACCTACCCAGTCAGGTGTGTGTGTGCGTCAGGTGTGTGGTGTGTGTTTCAGGTGTGTTTTGTCTATTTCTGGTGTGTGGTGTGTGTGTGTCAGGTGTGTGGTGTGTCAGGTGTGTGGTGTCTATTTCAGGTGTGTGGTGTCTATTTCAGGTGTGTATTGTCTATTTCAGGTGTTATTGTCTATTTAAGGTGTGTAGTGTGTGTGTCAGGTGTACGATGTATTTGGATAAAGATGTCGTGTATGTGTGTGTGTGTGTGTGTGTGTGTGTGGTCATGATCTGTGAACCTTGAACCTTTGACCTTTAATCTATGTTACTGACCAGAAGGTTAATGGCTGCTGGAGTTGTCATGGATAATATTCTTGAGAAATATGAAGGTTATAACTTTCTCCGTTCACAAGTTGTTCAGTTCCAGATAATTATAGACTCCTAAAATTAAAAGAAATCACCTGAAGATTAGCCACCCCAGCATATTTCAACTGATGATTAAACACCTTCATCTAACCTGGCCTAGGTAGAGTTAAGTTAGGTTAGGTCAGGTTAGGTCAGGTTAGGTCAGGACAGGTTAGGTTACTGATGGTGGTGGATACAGAAAGTTCATGGAATTCGTACGAGTCAAAACACCATCTTTATCGTCCCGGCAGAATCATAAGAAATCCTGTAAATAGTTTCCAGGTTATTGATGTCCACCCGAAGATGACTCACGTGACACGGATCTTGGGGTGAGGACGAAGCTCATTAACTCCAGGTAACAACAAGTTGAGGATTTATTATAAAGAGCCCAAGAGGTAATAACAAGTTGGGGATTTATTATAAGAGCCCAAGAGGTAATAACAAGTTGGGGATTTATTATTAAGAGCCCAAGAGGTAATAACAAGTTGGGGATTTATTATAAAGAGCCCAAGAGGTAATAACAAGTTGGGGATTTATTATTAAGAGCCCAAGAGATAATAACAAGTTGAGGATTTATTATAAAGAGCCCAAGAGGTAATAACAAGTTGGGATTTATTATTAAGAGCCAAGAGGTAATAACAAGTTGGGGATTTATTATTAAGAGCCCAAGAGGTAATAACAAGTTGGGGATTTATTATAAAGAGCCCAAGAGGTAATAACAAGTTGGGGATTTATTATTAAGAGCCCAAGAGATAATAACAAGTTGAGGATTTATTATAAAGAGGCCAAGAGGTAATAACAAGTTGGGGATTTATTATAAAGAGCCCAAGAGGTAATAACAAGTTGGGGATTTATTATAAAGAGGCCAAGAGGTAATAACAAGTTGGGGATTTATTATAAAGAGCCCAAGAGGTAATAACCCAAGAGGTAATAACAAGTTGGGGATTTATTATAAAGAGCCCAAGAGGTAATAACAAGTTGGGGATTTATTATAAAGAGCCCAAGAGGTAATAACAAGTTGGGGATTTATTATAAAGAGCCCAAGAGGTAATAACAAGTTGGGGATTTATTATTAAGAGCCCAAGAGGTAATAACAAGTTGGGGATTTATTATAAAGAGCCCAAGAGGTAATAACAAGTTGGGGATTTATTATTAAGAGCCCAAGAGGTAATAACAAGTTGGGGATTTATTATTAAGAGCCCAAGAGGTAATAACAAGTTGGGGATTTATTATTAAGAGCCCAAGAGGTAATAACAAGTTGGGGATTTATTATTCAGAGCCCAAGAGGTAATAACAAGTTGGGGATTTATTATTAAGAGGCCAAGAGGTAATAAAAAGTTGAGGATTTATTATTAAGAGGCCAAGAGGTAATAAGGAACGTATAGCCCGCGCCTCCTCCACCAACACATCAAAACACTTTTGTCTCGGGTTCAAGGTTGGTGGACTTGTTCACATATACCTCCAATGAGAGCAGTGATCGTGTCCTCCCTGAACTCAATGGTTTCACAGCAAGAGTCATTTGAATGCAGCTTAAAATATCACAACCAGGGTTTTTATTTATTTTTTTTATCAATGAACAAGTTGTGATGTGACGTCTGAAATCCTGTTTTGTGTCACGGGTAGAAGTAGGTACGAGTGATCTTGACCTAACCCGACATTTTCAGTATATATACCACAGCGCCGCCCTCCACCTCTCAGTCAACATTCGGGCGTCGTCTCGTGAACTATTAATTAACTGAATCTGTAGTAACTCGCTGCCTCAAAGTGAATCGCTTCTATACAATAAGAGGTGAAGTGCTGCTAGGTAATACCCAACGCTTACTCTACAAGCTTCCTAATGCTGATGAAGTACTGTTGGTAAAGATGGAGATATAGAAAAAACAGAGTGTGACTTTATTTCTATTTTCGTTGAAATTAAACTTATGGGAGAAATGGAGACCAAGAGATATATTTTGTTCACCTTGGCCACCATGGTTGTGGTAGTGAATGGTCATGCAATAGCCGGAGTGTTTCCTACCCTCTGCTTAGAAAATCAGGATCCAGGACCCTGCTTGGCCTTCATTCCTTCCTACTACTACAACCCAAGTTCAAAAAGCTGCGATTGTTTCGTCTACGGTGGGTGTGAAGGCAACGCCAACAGATTCCACACCTTAGAGCAGTGTATGGATACTTGTAGTGTTGTACCCAGCCAGCAGAAAAACACGATCAATTGTGACAAGATCCTGAAGACATCAAACCCCCTAGCAGAGAGACGAAGGCCGACCCAGTTTGGACCACAGATTCAGCATGGCACACACAGCCAGTTAGAAATCCGACAGACACCTAACTTCTGTCTCGAGCACACAGATCCAGGGCCGTGCCGGGCAATCATCCCTTCCTTCTATTACAACCCTAAGACCAAAGCCTGTGACTGTTTCGTCTACGGAGGGTGTGGAGGTAACGGCAACAATTTCCATAACCTACGGCGGTGTATGGAGTCGTGTGGTGTCGCTACCAGCCACCAGAAGAACACGGCCAGTTGTACTAACCTCCTTGGTGAATCCAACCCGCTGGCGAAGAGGGAAGTGGTGGACCAAAGCGGCTCACAGATTCTACAGACCTTAGAGCCCCAGCAGAAATCTCAGCAGAAATCAAAGCCTAAGCAGGAAACTCAGCTGACATCAGAGCACAAACAAGAATCTCAGCAGACGACAGAACTCCCCAAGGAAACTCAGCGGACGACAGAGCCTCAGCAGGAAACTCAGCAGACGACAGAGCTTCCCAAGGAAACTCAGCAGACGACAGAGCCTCAGCAGGATACTCAGCAGATGTCAGAGCCTCAGCAAGAAACTCAGCAGACGACAGAGCCTCAGCAGGAAACTCAGCAGATGTCAGAGTCCGAGCAAGAATCTCAGCAGACGACAGAGCTTTCCAAGGAAACTCAACAGATGACAGAGCTTCCCAAGGAAACTCAGCAGACGACAGTGCTTCAGCAGGAAACTCAGCAGATGTCAGAGGCCAAGCAAGAATCTCAGCAGATGACAGAGCTTCAGCAGGAAACTCAGCAGACGACAGAACTTCCCAATGAAACTCAGCAGACGACAGAGCCCAAGCAAGAATCTCAGCAGATGACAGAACCTCAGCAGGAAACTCAGCAGACGACAGAGCCTCCGCAGGAAACTCAGCAGATGACAAAGCCTGAACAACAATCTCAGCAGGCGACAGAGCTTCCCAAGGAATCTCAACAGATGACAGAGCCTCAGCAAGAAACTCAGCAGGTTCCTAACCTCTGTTTCGATCCTCCAGTAACGGGACTCTGCCGTGCCCACTTCCCTCACTTCTACTTCAACAGTGAGACACAAACCTGTGACTGTTTCGTGTACGGTGGGTGTGGCGGTAACGACAACAAGTTCTCCACGCTGGAAGAATGCCTCACTACTTGTGGTGGTCAACCCAGCCAACAGCACAATACCGAAAGTTGTGACAAAATCCATGGAAGTCAAAACCCACTAGTGAACAGAGAACCGTTGGTTAATGTCACCTTGTTGCCTGAGACACAGCAAATGATTCAGGAAACACAAGAGCCACAACAACTGACTCAGGAAACACAAGAGCCACAACAACTGACTCAGGAAACACAAGAGCCACAACAACTGACTCAGGAAACACAAGAGCCACAACAACTGACTCAGGAAACACAAGAGCCACAACAACTGACTCAGGAAACACAAGAGCCACAAATAAGTAGAGCACAAGAGTGGGTCAGACTCAGGCGGTAAACGACACACAAGTTCTCCGACGCTTCTCCACGCTGGAAGAATGCCTCACTACTTGTGGTGGTCAACCCAGCCAACAGCACAATACCGAAAGTTGTTACAGAATCCTTGGAAGTCAAAACCCACTCGCTGATATCACGTTGTTGTCTCAGAGAGAAACTCAACAACCCCAACAACCAACTGAGGAGGAGACGCAACAGTCGGCAGTCGCGACACAAACGCTGGGAAGGGAAAACAAGGAAGAGGAGTCAACAGGGAGCCACGGGGTAACGAGCCAAAAGTTTGGTTCCTCAGTAATCCGTGCTGGATCAATCTACGTGGGCAAGCCAGTCTCTATCCCCGGCTTCCTCCCGTGAGCAGACGCTGGCCAACAGACAACAGCCTTCCTTACACTGGCTACGGCTTGAAGTCTTCCTGCCACACCGACACACTCAACACTGTACAGAAAATATCAGTAGTAATGGATGTATAAGAGAACCAACTAGGGGTCCACAATGTTACTGAATCATAAAATACAACATCCCGCCCTCACAACCTCCCAACTCCTTATATCACAACTTTTGGAACAATATAATGCCAAGAGTTACTGTGTTCATTGTTGTTATTTACTGTAACCAATTATTATAAAAAAACACAAAATAAACACTTAACTGCATTTCTGTATCCCTGAGTATTATTATTGAGAGAATCAGTGAAGTTTGTTTTTTGTATTCGTGATGAAATATGAGCAAATGATTACCTCAAGTATTACCTGTACTTGGGATGAAGGATGAATTTCAGAATGAACACTACGACCCCCTGTTGTCTTGGTCGGGTTGGTCATAATCCTTCGTCTGTTAAGTCATATTTCTTCAACACTTGCTGACGTCATGGAGCTGGTATAAAAGTCACCTACCCAGTCAGGTGTGTGTGTGCGTCAGGTGTGTGGTGTGTGTTTCAGGTGTGTTTTGTCTATTTCTGGTGTGTGGTGTGTGTGTGTCAGGTGTGTGGTGTGTCAGGTGTGTGGTGTCTATTTCAGGTGTGTGGTGTCTAATTCAGGTGTGTATTGTCTATTTCAGGTGTTATTGTCTATTTAAGGTGTGTAGTGTGTGTGTCAGGTGTACGATGTATTTGGATAAAGATGTCGTGTATGTGTGTGTGTGTGTGTGTGTGTGTGTGGTCATGATCTGAAGAAAAAAAAAAAAAAAAAAAATAATAATAATAATAATAATAATAATAATTATAATAATAATAATAATAATAATAATAATAATAATAATATTAATAAAAGAACGAAATTTTAAGTAAGTTGCAACTCGCTCCTAACCTAACCTTGAACTTTGACCTCATATATATTTAAAAAAAACCTCAATAATAGTAGTTTTAACGGTGACTATTTTTTTTTTTTTTTGGGGGTTAACATCTATGACTTATACTGTTACCTGTGACCTTGACCTTTGACCTTTAATCTAGTTACTCCAGAAGGTTAATGGCTGCTGGAGTTGTCATGGATAATATTCTTGAGAAATATGAAGGTTATAACTTTCTCCGTTCACAAGTTGTTCAGTTCCAGATAATTATAGACTCCTAAAATTAAAAGAAATCACCTGAAGATTAGCCACCCCAGCATATTTCAACTGATGATTAAACACCTTCATCTAACCTGGCCTAGGTAGAGTTAAGTTAGGTTAGGTCAGGTTAGGTCAGGTTAGGTCAGGACAGGTTAGGTTACTGATGGTGGTGGATACAGAAAGTTCATGGAATTCGTACGAGTCAAAACACCATCTTTATCGTCCCGGCAGAATCATAAGAAATCCTGTAAATAGTTTCCAGGTTATTGATGTCCACCCGAAGATGACTCACGTGACACGGATCTTGGGGTGAGGACGAAGCTCATTAACTCCAGGTAATAACAAGTTGAGGATTTATTATTAAGAGCCCAAGAGGTAATAACAAGTTGGGGATTTATTATAAAGAGCCCAAGAGGTAATAACAAGTTGGGGATTTATTATTAAGAGCCCAAGAGGTAATAACAAGTTGGGGATTTATTATAAAGAGCCCAAGAGGTAATAACAAGTTGGGGATTTATTATTAAGAGCCCAAGAGATAATAACAAGTTGAGGATTTATTATAAAGAGGCCAAGAGGTAATAACAAGTTGGGGATTTATTATAAAGAGCCCAAGAGGTAATAACAAGTTGGGGATTTATTATAAAGAGGCCAAGAGGTAATAACAAGTTGGGGATTTATTATAAAGAGCCCAAGAGGTAATAACAAGTTGGGGATTTATTATTAAGAGCCCAAGAGGTAATAACAAGTTGGGGATTTATTATAAAGAGGCCAAGAGTGTAATAACAAGTTGGGGATTTATTATAAGAGCCCAAGAGGTAACAATGTTGTATTTATTATAAAGAGGCCAAGAGGTAATAACAAGTTGGGGATTTATTATAAAGAGCCCAAGAGGTGTAATAACAAGTTGGGGATTTATATAAGAGCCCAAGAGGTAATAACAAGTTAGATTTATTATAAAGAGCCCAAGAGGTAATAATGTTAGATTTATTATAAAGAGCCCAAGAGGTAATAACAAGTTGGGGATTTATTATAAAGAGCCCAAGAGGTAATAATGTTGGGGATTTATTATTAAGAGCCCAAGAGGTAATAAGTTGGGGATTTATTATAAAGAGCCCAAGAGGCAAGGGGATTTATTATTAAGAGCCCAAGAGGTAATAACAAGTTGGGGATTTATTATTAAGAGCCCAAGAGGTAATAACAAGTTGGGGATTTATTATTAAGAGCCCAAGAGGTAATAACAAGTTGGGGATTTATTATTCAGAGCCCAAGAGGTAATAACAAGTTGGGGATTTATTATTAAGAGGCCAAGAGGTAATAAAAAGTTGAGGATTTATTATTAAGAGGCCAAGAGGTAATAAGGAACGTATAGCCCGCGCCTCCTCCACCAACACATCAAAACACTTTTGTCTCGGGTTCAAGGTTGGTGGACTTGTTCACATATACCTCCAATGAGAGCAGTGATCGTGTCCTCCCTGAACTCAATGGTTTCACAGCAAGAGTCATTTGAATGCAGCTTAAAATATCACAACCAGGGTTTTTATTTATTTTTTTTATCAATGAACAAGTTGTGATGTGACGTCTGAAATCCTGTTTTGTGTCACGGGTAGAAGTAGGTACGAGTGATCTTGACCTAACCCGACATTTTCAGTATATATACCACAGCGCCGCCCTCCACCTCTCAGTCAACATTCGGGCGTCGTCTCGTGAACTATTAATTAACTGAATCTGTAGTAACTCGCTGCCTCAAAGTGAATCGCTTCTATACAATAAGAGGTGAAGTGCTGCTAGGTAATACCCAACGCTTACTCTACAAGCTTCCTAATGCTGATGAAGTACTGTTGGTAAAGATGGAGATATAGAAAAAACAGAGTGTGACTTTATTTCTATTTTCGTTGAAATTAAACTTATGGGAGAAATGGAGACCAAGAGATATATTTTGTTCACCTTGGCCACCATGGTTGTGGTAGTGAATGGTCATGCAATAGCCGGAGTGTTTCCTACCCTCTGCTTAGAAAATCAGGATCCAGGACCCTGCTTGGCCTTCATTCCTTCCTACTACTACAACCCAAGTTCAAAAAGCTGCGATTGTTTCGTCTACGGTGGGTGTGAAGGCAACGCCAACAGATTCCACACCTTAGAGCAGTGTATGGATACTTGTAGTGTTGTACCCAGCCAGCAGAAAAACACGATCAATTGTGACAAGATCCTGAAGACATCAAACCCCCTAGCAGAGAGACGAAGGCCGACCCAGTTTGGACCACAGATTCAGCATGGCACACACAGCCAGTTAGAAATCCGACAGACACCTAACTTCTGTCTCGAGCACACAGATCCAGGGCCGTGCCGGGCAATCATCCCTTCCTTCTATTACAACCCTAAGACCAAAGCCTGTGACTGTTTCGTCTACGGAGGGTGTGGAGGTAACAACAATTTCCATAACCTACGGCGGTGTATGGAGTCGTGTGGTGTCGCTACCAGCCACCAGAAGAACACGGCCAGTTGTACTAACCTCCTTGGTGAATCCAACCCGCTGGCGAAGAGGGAAGTGGTGGACCAAAGCGGCTCACAGATTCTACAGACCTTAGAGCCCCAGCAGAAATCTCAGCAGAAATCAGAGCCTAAGCAGGAAACTCAGCTGACATCAGAGCACAAACAAGAATCTCAGCAGACGACAGAACTCCCCAAGGAAACTCAGCGGACGACAGAGCCTCAGCAGGAAACTCAGCAGACGACAGAGCTTCCCAAGGAAACTCAGCAGACGACAGAGCCTCAGCAGGATACTCAGCAGATGTCAGAGCCTCAGCAAGAAACTCAGCAGACGACAGAGCCTCAGCAGGAAACTCAGCAGATGTCAGAGTCCGAGCAAGAATCTCAGCAGACGACAGAGCTTTCCAAGGAAACTCAACAGATGACAGAGCTTCCCAAGGAAACTCAGCAGACGACAGTGCTTCAGCAGGAAACTCAGCAGATGTCAGAGGCCAAGCAAGAATCTCAGCAGATGACAGAGCTTCAGCAGGAAACTCAGCAGACGACAGAACTTCCCAATGAAACTCAGCAGACGACAGAGCCCAAGCAAGAATCTCAGCAGATGACAGAACCTCAGCAGGAAACTCAGCAGACGACAGAGCCTCCGCAGGAAACTCAGCAGATGACAAAGCCTGAACAACAATCTCAGCAGGCGACAGAGCTTCCCAAGGAATCTCAACAGATGACAGAGCCTCAGCAAGAAACTCAGCAGGTTCCTAACCTCTGTTTCGATCCTCCAGTAACGGGACTCTGCCGTGCCCACTTCCCTCACTTCTACTTCAACAGTGAGACACAAACCTGTGACTGTTTCGTGTACGGTGGGTGTGGCGGTAACGACAACAAGTTCTCCACGCTGGAAGAATGCCTCACTACTTGTGGTGGTCAACCCAGCCAACAGCACAATACCGAAAGTTGTGACAAAATCCATGGAAGTCAAAACCCACTAGTGAACAGAGAACCGTTGGTTAATGTCACCTTGTTGCCTGAGACACAGCAAATGATTCAGGAAACACAAGAGCCACAACAACTGACTCAGGAAACACAAGAGCCACAACAACTGACTCAGGAAACACAAGAGCCACAACAACTGACTCAGGAAACACAAGAGCCACAACAACTGACTCAGGAAACACAAGAGCACAACAACTGACTCACAACTGACTCCAGAAACACAAGAGCCACAACAACTGACTCAGGAAACAAAACCACAACAACTGACTCAGGAAACACAAGAGCCACAACAACTGACTCCAGGAAACACACAGATTCAGGAAACACAACAACAGACAGGAACTGACTCAGGAAACACAAGAGCCACAACAACTGACTCCAGGAAACACAAGACCACAACAAACACAAGAAAACACAAGAACACAACAACTGACTCAGGAAACACAAGAGCCACAACAACTGACTCAGGAAACACAAGAACCACAACAACTGACTCAGGAAACACAAGAGCCACAACATGACTCAGGAAACACAAGAGCTACAACAACTGAGCACAAGAGCCACAACAAACGATTCAGGAAACACAAGAGCCACAACAACTGACTCAGAAACACAAGAGCCACAACAACTGACTCAGGAAACACAAGACACACAACAAACGATTCAGGAAACACAAGACACAACAACTGACTCCAGAAACACAAGAGCCACAACAACTGACTCAGGAAACACAAGAGCCACAACAACTGACTCAGAAACACAAGAGACCACAAACAACTGACTCCAGGAAACACAAAAGAGCCACAACAACTGACTCAGGAAACACACAACAACTGACTCAGGAACACAAGAGCACAACAGAGGAAACACAAGAGCCACAACAACTGACTCCAGGAAACACAAGAGCCACAACAAACGATTCAGGAAACACAAGAGCCACAACATCAGAAACACAAGATTCCAGGAAACACAAGAGCCACAACAACCGATTCAGGAAACACAAGAGCCACAACCACAACTGACTCCAGAAACACAAGAGCCACAACAACCGATTCAGAAACACAAACCACAACAACCGATTCAGGAAACACAAGAGCCACAACAACTGACTCAGGAAACACAAGAGCCACAACAACCGATTCAGGAAACACAAGAGCCACAACAACTGACTCATGAAACACAAGAGCCACAACAACTGACTCAGGAAACACACAAGAGCCACAACAACTGACTCAGAAACACACACAACAACTGACTCACACAAGAGCCACAACAACTGACTCAGGACACACAAGAGCTCAGGAAACACACAACTGAAGGGATTCAGAGAAACACAAGAGCCACAACAACGATTCAGAAACACAAGAGCCACAACAACTGACTCAGGAAACACAAGAGCCACAACAACAACTGAAACTCCTGAGAAACACAAGAGCCACAACAACGATTCAGGAAACACAAGAGCCACAACAACCGATTCAGGAAACACAAGAGCCACAACAACGACAGGAAACACAAGAGCCACAACCGATTCAGGAAACACAAGAGCCACAACAACTGACTCATGAAACACAAGAGCCACAACAACTGACTCAGGAAACACAAGAGCCACACAAACAACTGACTCATGAAACACAAGAGCCACAACAACTGACTCAAGGAAACACACACAACAACTGACTCAGGAAACACAAGAGACACAACAAACGATCAGGAAACACAAGAGCAACAACAACTGACTCAGGAAACACAAGAGCCACAACAACTGACTCAGGAAACACATGTGCCACAACAACCGATTCAGGAAACACAAGAGCCACAACAACTGACTCCAGCACAACAACTGACCATAAACACAAGAGCCACAACAACCGATTCAGGAAACACAAGAGCCACAACAACCGATTCAGGAAACACAAGAGCCACAACAACTGACCCAGGAAACACAAGAGCCACAACAACTAATTCAGGAAACACAACAACTGACTCAGGAAACACAGGAGCCACAACAACCGATTCAAGAAACACAACTACTGACTCAGGAAACACAGGAGCCAACAGCTGACTCAGGAAACACCACAACTGACTCAGAAACACAACAACCACAACAACTGACTCATGAAACACAACAACCACAACAGCTGACACAGGAACACCACAACTGACTCAGAAACACAACAGCCACAACAGCTGACACAGGAAACACAACAACCACAACAGCCAGACTCAGGAAACACCACAACCACAACAGCTGACTCAGGAAACAAAAAGTCACAACAGCCGACTCACGAAACACAACAGCCGACTCAGGAAACACAACAGCTGACTCATGAAACACAACAGCCGACTCAGGAAACACCACAGTTGGCAGCAGTGGTGCAGACATCTGGCCGGACGAACGAGGAAAAGAAGACAGTGGGAAGTACAGGGGTAGTGGGAAGTACAGGGGCAGTGGGAAGTACAGGGGCAGTGGGAGAAGCAGGGCAGTGGAATACAGGGGTAGTGGAAGTACAGGGGAGTGGGGGAGTACAGGGCAGTGGGAAGTACAGGGGTAGTGGGAAGTACAGGGCAGTGGGAAGTACAGGGGTAGTGGGAGCACAGGGGCGGGGGAAGTAGGGGCAGTGGGAAGCACAGGGGTAGTGGGAGTACAGGGGCAGTGGGAAGCACAGGGTAGTGGGAGTCAGGGGTGGTGGAGCACAGGGTAGTGGGAGCGCAGGGGCAGTGGGAGTGGGGGGCAGTGGGAAGTACAGGGCAGTGGAGAGTGCAGGGGCAGTGGGAGTACAGGGGCAGTGGAGTACAGGGGCAGTGGGAGTACAGGGGTAGTGGGAGTGCAGGGGCAGTGGGAGTACAGGTAGTGGGAAGCACAGGGGTAGTGGGAAGTGCAGGGGTGAGTGGGAAGTGCAGGGCAGTGGGAGTACAGGGTAGTGGGAGTACAGGGGTGAGTGGGAGCACAGGGGTGAGTGGGAGACACAGGGCAGTGGCAGGGCAGTGGGAGCACAGGGGTGATGGGAAGCACAGGGCAGTGGGAGCACAGGGCAGTGGGAGTACAGGGGTGGTGAGAATGCAGGGGCAGTGGGAGTGCAGAGGGGGTGGGAGTACAGGGGCAGTGGGAAGTACAGGGCAGTGGGAGTACAGGGGTGAGTGGGAGGCAGGCAGGGGAGCACAGGGCAGTGGGAGTACAGGGGCAGTGGGAGTGCAGGGGTAGTGGGAGTACAGGGGCAAGGACAGGGGTAGTGGAAGCACAGGGCAGTGGAAGTACAGGGCAGTGGGAGAGTACAGGGGCAGTGGGAGGTACAGGGCAGTGGGAGTACAGGGGCAGTAAGTACAGGGGTGGTGAGTACAGGGGTGGTGAAGCACAGGGCAGTGGGAGCACAGGGGCAGTGGGAAGTACAGGGGCAGTGGGAGTGCAGAAGCACAGGGGCAGTGGGAGTACAGGGCAGTGGAATACAGGGGTAGTGGGAAGTACAGGGGCAGTGGGAAGCACAGGGTAGTGGGAAGCACAGGGGTAGTGGAATGGGGTAGTGGGAAGCACAGGGGTAGTGGGAAGCAGGGGCAGTGGGAAGTACAGGGGCAGTGGGAAGTACAGGGCAGTGGGAAGTACAGGGGTGTGGGAGTACAGGGGCAGTGGGAAGCACAGGGTAGTGGAGCGCAGGGGGTGGTGGGAAGCACAGGGGCAGTGGGAGCACAGGGCAGTGGGAGTACAGGGGTGGTGGGAAGTACAGGGGGTGGGAGTACAGGGTGAGTGGGAAGTACAGGGGTAGTGGGAAGACGGGCAGTGGGAGGTACAGGGGCAGTGGGAAGTACAGGGGTAGTGGAAGCACAGGGGCAGTGGGAAGTACAGGGGTAGTGGGAGTACAGGGGCAGTGGGAAGTACAGGGGTAGTGGGAAGTACAGGGGTAGTGGGAAGTACAGGGGCAGTGGGAAGTACAGGGGCAGTGGGAAGTACAGGGGCAGTGGCAAGACGTATGTTAATCACCCATATATTAGGAACACCGAGGGGCAGCGTTGGGTCACTGTACGTGGGCAAGCCAGTCTCTATCCCCGGCTTCCTCCCGTGAGCAGACGCTGGCCAACAGACAACAGCCTTCCTTACACTGGCTACGGCTTGAAGTCTTCCTGCCACACCGACACACTCAACACTGTACAGAAAATATCAGTAGTAATGGATGTATAAGAGGACTAACTAGGGGTCCACAATGTTCAGTTTATTGTTGACGTTTTAGGGAACTTCTGTCCGTCACCAGAAGTTGAAACAGAAACACCTTGACAGTTACACGTGTTCTGAGAACCAATTGTTTTGTTAACTTCACATTAATTGTAACTGAAACATTTTGTGTTAATTTAGATCATGGTGTTGGAAGGAACATCAGCGATAAAGACTCAACATTGTCAGGATGTTTACATCGTATCAGCTGATCCTCTTAATGTAACACAATGTTTACCATGTAACAAGTCCAGTGTTAAATTTGTATAATTTATTTACTGCACCATTCCATTGTTACCATATTGACAGGGTAAGTGTTGCCAGATATTAGAGTCAACTTGTCACTGTTAAGCTACCAATGTTACATTGTTTCATATACTGGCAACACTACCAACATACATCACTCACCTTCCTCACACATAATAATGTTATAAGTGTAGCAGCAGCCTGGTAACATAACACCCTGCCTCACAACCTACCAACAACTTTTATTTATATCACAACTCTTGGAACACTATCAAACTATAAGTACTGTGTTGGTTGTATATATCATTATAAGTTATTATTTACGTCTGTAATAATTATTACTAATAAAATGTTTCATACATTCGCACTTTTATAACCCTGACTATAATTGTAAAACTTTTATTTCTGCTGCTACTACTACTACTGCTACTACTACTGCTACTACTACTACTACTACTACTTTTTTTTTACGTGGCCTCCAGCCTCCCCCAATAGCCACACCTTCGCCACCATTTATTTACCTTAATATTAAATATCCTAATACATAAGTAGCTATCCTATCTGTGTTAAATTAGTTGAGCCGCAGATCTATGCGGCATTCAGTGACTGTAGCCTCATAGTCGATATCTGCAGCAGTTGTCGGAGTTGGGGCAGAAGCTCTCGTTCCCCTGAGGCAGAGCAAAGCCGACCGAAGGAGAGAGAAGGACAGTCAACATCTCATCCAGGCTTTAACATAACTTCTGGGCTGCTGCTTCTGTTCGGAGATCACCTCCGCGAGTCTGGCGTAGAAACATCTTGCACTTGGTCCCATCCACCAGAGGTTGTGAACACTACAGAAGTGAAGCTGCCTTGATCAACGTTTTGGATTCTCTCCCCATATGCCCTTATCTTGTCGTTCTCGTTCCTCCTATGTGCAGCATCGAGAGCTAAGTTACGGTGACATGCGGCCATGGGATCAAAAATCCTGATGTCGAAGAAAGCTCGCTGTCCTCGCGTCCAGAATCCTCGAGCACTGACGTCAACACGGGCTTCGTTAGATGTGTTTGAAGTCCTATGTTGGAAGATCTCACCATCCAATGGAAGGAGGGTCGGTTCTACCATGACATCCCGGCAGATTTCCTTCAACATATTTGCTGTAAGGTCCCTTACTTCGTCATGCCTCATGCATATGAAGCCCCCTTTCTTGCACACCATGGCGTGATCGCCGTCATAGGAAGAGCCACCTACTACTACTACTACTACTACTACTACTACTACTACTACTACTAAATAATAATAATAATAATAATAATTTTCATCTTTAAGCCTCTGAACAAGATCTGGTATACAGTGGAGCATGTGAGAAGACAATGCTGATACACAATGTGCATAGACCGTGAAGGTATGCAAGCAATGTACACCTAGACAGTGGAGGTTCACAAACAATGGTAAAGAGTAAGGTATTAGTGCCCAGGTGTGGACGGTCGACATACTGAACTTTCCCATTAACGCTGGAGTACCTTAAGGCTCAGTTCTTGTTCCTTCGCTCTTATTACTAAATATATTTTGATCTATTTACCATTCCTTACAGCCTTACACATTCCTCTAATGACGCCATAAACACAACAACTACCTACAACACAGATCACAAATTACCTTTTTACATTCACTACCACCACCACCACAAACTCATACCATCTCTTTGGCATACAAGATCACCGTAACACCTGTGGGATTTTTTTTTTTTAATTCTCCATAACACCTTCATTAAACCTGCCAGCAATAACAATATCCTTGGTCTTATTAACACACGTACACTCCCTTTCCTCAAAAAACTATCTATATTGTTTCATGTGAGATAATATGACACAACGGATGAAGGATTTTGACAATACCGAGACAACAGGAGTCACAGTGTTCATTTTGGAATCTATCGAATCCTGCGGTAAAGAGACTTTTTTGGAGGGCGAGTTGTACAAAATCATGTCTACCTTGGCATGGAATGTTGGTGTCAGGTGTAAGGCGGTGATCCACAGACTCGGGAAGCAGTGAAACAGAACGAGATCTTAAGGTTTATAAACACGACAGTTAAAATGTCACCTGAAGATTTGCCAAGATTATTTCATCTCAAGATTGACCACCCTAACTTAACTTAACTTAACCTAATCTCACCCAACCAATTACCAATCTGACCTACCCTAACCTAACCTTAAATAACATAACCTAACACACTCTAACCTACGCTACCCCCTCAAACACACACACACATCATTTGGGCATTTAATCTTCAGATGAAATAATCCGAGGAAGGTCAAATCTTCAGGTAAACTCAAATCCGTATGCTCAACCACATAAAATAGTGCCCCGTTAATAGTGCTGGCATTATAAAATATCAGGAGTTAATATGCGTGTTACTGAGCTTATAATCTGCTCTATATAAGTGAGAATAAGTGGATAGCCTTCATGTTAACAGTTGGAGTGAAGAGTAGGTCAGGTAACTTTCAGATGGAGCAGGATCTTGGTGTTACTGAGGGAGATGGTCTTGACAGGGGTGAACATACATACATATATACATACATACATATATACATACATACATATATACATACATACATATATACATACATACATACATACATACATATATACATACGTACAGCATATGTGTTTACTAAAAAAAAAAAAGCCTTATGACATTACAAGGTTAGAGTACACACACAGACTTCGTTACGGTTTATGAAGTGTTGCAAGATTGTTTACGGTGTTGCAAGGTTGTTTATGGTGTTGCAAGGTTGTTTATGGTGTTGCAGGGTTGTTTATGGAGTGTTGCAAGGTTAATCATAAAGTGTTGCTAGGAAATATTGCAAGATTTAGGTATAAAGTGATGTTAGGAAACGAAAGGAAAAAAATAGAAAGAAAAAGGATTAAAATAGGAGTTAATTTCGACCTTTGACCTGACCCAAGGTACGTGGGTCAATGGGGTTATGGTGCTGAATAATATGAGAATGATCGTAAAATAATACCCAGGTTTTAAATGCCCATTATATCTCAACCCAGGCACCTTCTTTTTTCGATGACCTTGTGGTATTTATATCAATTATGTATGTGATAGTTACCTTTGACGACATACAAACATACATACCTCCTTCCTTCCCACCTACCTACCTCCCCCACCTTCCCACCCACCCACCCTCTCCACCCCCACCCACCCACCCACCCACCCCAAACATTCCCACCCACCCACCCACCCACCCACTCCACCCACCCACCCACCCACCCACCCCCACTCCACTCCCACCCACCCACCCACCCACCCACCCCCCACTCCCTCCACCACTCCACTCCACCACACACCACCCACCCACCACCACTCCACCCACCTACCTTCCCACTCCACCCACCCACCACCCACCTCCCACTCCACTCCACCTACCTTCCTACCTACCTTCCTACCTACCTACCTACCTACCTACCTACCTACATCACACTCAAGACAACACCTTTACTGGATTAGCTTGGACTGTGTTTTCCTATTGTTATCATGTCAGCTGTTTCCGTACCCAGGTAAGTACGTGTCCGTGGGACGTGGATGTACAGGACGTGTTTATATTGTAACATTATTATTATTATTATTATTATTATTATTATTATTATTATTATTATTATTAGTAGTAGTAGTAGTAGTAGTAGTAGGAGGAGGAGGAGGAGGAGTAGTGGATATTTAATTTGAAGGTAATAAAATGGCGGCGTAGGTGTGGCTATTGGGGTAGGTTGGAGGCCACGTAAAAAAAAGTAGTAGTAGTAGTAGTAGTAGTAGTAGTAGTAGTAGTAGTAGTAGTAGTAGTAGTAGTAGTAGTAGTAGTAGTGTTCACAACCTCTGGTGGGATGGGACCAAGTGCAAGATGTTTCTACGCCAGACTCTCGGAGGTGATCTCCGAACAGAAGCAGCAGCCCAGAAGTTATGTTACAGCCTGGATGAGATGTCGACTGTCCTTCTCTCTCCTTAGGTCGGCTTTGCTCTGCCTCAGGGGAACGAGAGCTTCTGCCCCAACTCCGACAACTGCTGCAGATATTGACTATGAGGCAACAGTCACTGAATGCCGCATAGATCTGCGGCTCAACTAATTTAACACAGATAGGATAGCTACTTATGTATTAGGATATTTAATATTAAGGTAATAAAATGGTGGCGTCGTAGTAGTAGTAGTAGTAGTAGTAGTAGTAGTAGTAGTAGTAGTAGTAGTAGTAGTAGTAGTAGTAGTAGTAGTAGTAGTAGTAGTAGTAGTAGTATTATTATCGTTTGGTTTACCTGAAGATTCGCCCCTTAATCTTATTTACCTGACGATTAACTTTCCTAACACTAATGAATCTTTACTTAACCTAAACTTAATGTAAACCTAATCTAACCCTATTTAACCTAACCTATCCTAAGAATCCTCAGGTGTTCTTGTCACTCTCGTTACATCTTCAGTAAATTATATTTTCAAACAACAGTCGCAACTTCTCTTGACCCCTTGACCCACCCACCACTTGACCCCCACCACTTCACCACCACCACACGAGTCCATTCCCTTCTCTTAATTTTTACTCAAACTTGGAAAATATCCAGATAATTAGCTCTTCGTTGAACCCGAATGCATCTCTGTCACGAATTCTTAGTTCCTTTTTTTTTTTTTTATCCAGGATGTTGTACCGTGACGCGAGAATCCCAGACTTGCATCAGTGGTGGGACGGGGGTGGTAAGAACCGGTCCCCATCCAAGCAGACATTACAAGGACGAGAAGCACCAAGCGGCCAGCAGTCAACACCAGCACGTTGTCCCGAGAGCAAGTAATTCCCAGCATTCCGCGCTCAGCTGCCTCCAGAGTACTCCCTGTCCTCACGCCGTCAAAGTGCTCTAAGTGAACTGGATTTCCTGTCCCGTATCCATAAACCTGATGAATTAACACTAAAGACATATAACTAAATACTCGGGTGTGGGTTTTATCTGTTCTTTCGTTGGATTAAACGAAATGGCGAGGAAGATGATGATTTTCCTGTACTTGTCCGCCGTGGCTGTGATCGTGAGTGGCCAGGAAATATCCTCAAATGTTCCGAACTTCTGCTTTGACCCTCCAGAAGTGGGAATATGCCGCGCTCACTTCCCATCTTTCTACTTCAACACCAAAACGAAATCTTGCGACTGTTTCATCTACGGCGGGTGTTTAGGCAATGATAACAGATTTCCAACCCTACAGGAGTGCATGCAGGCGTGTCATGTTCGACCCAGCCTGCAGAAGAACTCAGCGAAGTGCGATAAGGTCTTGGGAAGTGACAACCCTCTGGCGAATGAGCAAATACTGAACGCTATAAGGCAAATGTCTCCACTACCACCTCATCATAAATCACCGTTCCTAGCACCTCCTGAGCAGGCACCAGTGTTTCAAGACGACCCTCAGCAGACCCCACCTCAGCAGTCCCCTCCTCAGCAGACAGGACTGTTTCAAGACGATCCTCAGCAGACCCCACCTCAGCAGCCCCCTCCTCAGCAGACACCACTGACTCAAGACGATCCTCAGCAGACCCCACTGATTCAACACGACCCTCCTCAGCAGATTCCACCGTTCCAACAGCCACCGCCACCTCAGCAGAGCCAACTGTACCAACCACCTCAGCAGAGCCAACTGTACCAACCACCTCAACAGACCACCCGACCTCAGCAGATCCCACAATTCCAGCACCGACCTCAGCAGATCCCACAATTCCAGCACCGACCTCAGCAGATCCATGTATGCCCACAACCCCAGCTGACACACCGACCAGTGACCCAGCCCCAGCAGACGCAGTATTACCAACGACCACAACAGACACAGCACTACCAACGACCACTAGGCCAGCTGATCCCACCAGCACTACAGACGTGGACACACACAAACACAGACGAGGATATAGTGGTCAGTCAGATCTTCCAAGCTATGGGCATAACACAGGGTACCCTTTACATCGGCCAGCCAGCTTACCCCATACCTCGATGGATGCCAATTAACGCTGACAACTAAGACGACGAGGCATTCAGTGGCATTTAAATGGGATAGAAACTCATACAAGAAGCATCGTAGTTTTAGGAGACTTATAAACGAAGCACAAAAGTGATTAACCTCGTAATGTCTAAGATAATGTGTTAAGTGTTTACATGTAAGCAAAATACAATGCAGCCATAACAACATTCACAATCAGTCATTAACCTGTTGTAAACCTTCCTCACCTGAGTTACAGACATACAGACATTCTCGAGTTAGTCCTTGACGTGTGAGCTATCAAGAATCACATCGAGTATGATATAGCTTGTATAATTATAATAATGCACAACAAAAAATACAAAATGGCGGTATGTGATGCGATTTCAATACTTAAGAAAAATATTGAATTTTTTATGTTCATTATTGTTTTTCTGTGAGGTTGCGTCCGTCTGTATGTAAATCTTCTTGTTTACTGATAATTACCAATATTTTCATCAGTTTTTTTTATCAAGGATACAATTGGCCAGATATTACAAGAGCATAGTTAAAAATATCCTGACCTTGATGTTAAATCCGTGTTATAATTACACAATTTAGTTACCATTCTTATTATCATTACACAATTTAGTTACCATGATGTTAAATTCTTATTATTATTACACAATTTAGTTACCACGATGTTAAATTCTTATTATTATTACACAATTTAGTTACCATGATGTTAAATTCTTATTATTATCACACAATTTAGTTACCACGATGTTAAATTCTTATTATTATTACACAATTTAGTTACCAATGTTATAAAGCTTCTTAAAACGTCAAATAGTATTATATTCAACAATCATTCAGTGTACAATAGACATACTCCAATAGTGTTTTACTTAAGTATTATTAAATAAAAAAATAGAGTATTATCAACATACAATAGTGTTTTAATTACCACCAATAGCAAGGGAGATTAATATCCTCAAATACTATTAATTATTATAGTTATTTAGTATAAATCATTACTAATAGTCGTTTTGTTAACTATTATCAAAAGGTAAAGAAACATCAACGAATATTATTATGTGTAGTTGTTATTAGTAAAATTGATATGGAATAAAATTAGACTTGATTTAACCTAACCTAAACTAACCTTAGCTAACTTAACCTAACTTCCCCAGGTAAGTGAAATAGGCTAAGGGTAGTTAATCTTCAGGTGATCTTAAAGGTGTATTGCAATTCAATTCAAGTCAGGTCAGGTCAGGTCAGGGAGAATCAGGGTGTCTAATCATCAGGTGAAAAAACAAGGGTGGATCAAATTTCACATGACACAAATTACAGGTAACGATTGTCCCTATAACAAAGACCAAAGCACAGGTAACTCTATCAAGGACCCAGGTAATCGTTACACCACAATAATTACCACATTCTTGCCGCTGTAATTACACCTTTTTGGTTCTGGTGTAATACGCGTTCTGCTTCAATAGTCTCCTTGAGATTTCTAAGTAAATTAAAGAGAAAAAATCTTATTATTGTTAGTTATTATTATTATTATTATTATTATTATTATTATTATTATTATTATTATTATTATTATTATTATTATTATTATTATTATTATTATTATCTACCTATCTAATCTACCTGTCTGTCTGTCTATCATACATACATACATAGAGAGTACAGGTATACAAACAACGTATCTAGACCATACAGTGACAAACAGTGTGGCTATTTAACCAAGGTCACTCAACAAAATCACCAGACGCTGAACTGACTCAGATTATCGCTTCACTAACTCTCAAAATTATGTGGTTCAGTTTAGTGGTCCGGTTTAGTGGTTCGGTTTAGTGGTCCGGTTTAGTGGTCCGGTTTAGTGGTCCGGTTTAGTGGTCTACGAATCTGTACCTAATATGGCGGACATTTTTCTTTGAGACTTGACTGTGAATTATTATTTGTTCTTGTTCATTATTGGTAAAGTACGATATTTTGTCTCTCTCTCTCTCTCTCTCTCTCTCTCTCTTCACTCGAATACAAAATGTAAAAAAAAGCTGAATTTTTTCTCTGTTATATTGTGGGTCGTGATGGCCTTCAACAGGTAAGAAAAACTAGCTTGACCTCCCTCTCCGCCCACTCACTGCCCTCTCCGCCCACTCACTGCCCTCTCCACCTACCCACTCCCCTCTCCACACACCCACTGCCCTCTCCACCCACCCACTACCCTCTCCGCCCACTCATCGCCTACTCACTGCCCTCTCCACCCACCCAATCCCTCTCCACCCACTCACTCCCTTCGCTAAAATCAAAACCAACGAAAAATGTTCAAGGAAAATAAAACGTGAAAATATATGCCCCGCTAACTGGAGTGCATAACGCCCGGATGCCCAGGTGCAGGTGTTGATGGGTATTGATTACAGGTAAAAGAGGGCATTATACCCGGGCCTTTACCGGGAATTACCGGGGATTTCTACCGGGAGTTAACAGGGGGGGATTAGTATTTTTTATGAGGGTGTTGGAGAAGGCCTTGGGAGTAGAGACATTCACAGCCTTTTCTCACTCACTCACTCTCACTCACTGCGTGTCTCACTCACTCACTCATTCTCACTCACTGCGTGTCTCACTCACTCGCTCACTCATCTTCTGACTTACTTTCTCTCACTCTCTCACTCTCTCACTCACACTCTCACTCACTCACTCGCTCACTCATCTTCTGACTTACTTACTCTCACTCTCTCACTCTCTCACTCACACTCTCACTCACTCACTCACTCACTCATCTTCTGACTTACTTTCTCTCACTCTCACTCACTCACTCTCTCACTCACACACTCTCACTCACTCACTCACTCGCTCACTCATCTTCTGACATACTTTCTCTCACACACTACCACCGCTCACCATCTTCTGACATACTTTCCACTCTCTGGATAAGAATGAGGCAATCGCCTTACGGGCGATTAACGGCGGCAGGGGGGCATAAGAATGAGGGGCGGCAATCGCCACGGGCGATTAACGGCGGCAGTAAATAAGTGGCGGCAATCGCCTTACGGGCGATTAACGGCGGCAGGCCATAAGAATGAGTGGCGGCAATCGCCTTACGGGCGATTAACGGCGGCAGGGGGCCATGTGGCGGCAATCGCCTAACGGGCGATTAACGGCAGCAGGGGGCCATAATGAGTGGCGGCAATCGCCTTACGGGCGATTAACGGCGAAGAGGGCCATAAGAATGAGTGGGCAACGTCTTACGGGCGATTAACGGCGGCAGGGAGGCCATAAGAGGGCGGCAATCGCCTTGGCGATTAACGGCGGTGCAGGGAGGCCATGAAGTTGTGCAACGCCTTACGGGCGATTAACGGCGGTAGGGAGGCCATAATAATGGGCGGCAACGCCTGGCGATAATTTGCGCAGGGAGGCCCAAGAATGAGTGGCGGCAATCGCCTTACGGGCGATTAACGGCGGCAGGGGGCCATAAGAATGAGGTGGCGGCAATCGCCTTATGTGCGATTAACGGCGGGGGGGGCCATAAGAATGAATGGCGCAATCGCCTACGGGCTATTAACGGCGGCACGGGGCCATAGGAATGAGTGGCGGCAATCGCCCACGGGCGATTAACGGCGGCAGGGGCCATAAGAATGAGTGGCGGCAATCGCCTGGCGATAACGGCGGCAGGGGCCATAAGAATGAGTGGCGCAACGCCTACGGGCGATTAACGGCGGCAGGGGCCATAAGAATGAGTGGTGAACCGCCTTACGGGCGATTAACGGCGCAGGCTATAAGAGGGCGCAATCGCCTTACGGCGATTAACGGCGGCAGGGGGCCATAAGAATGAGGCGCACCTTCCACGGCGATTAACGGCAGGGGGACCATATGAATGGCGGCAATCGCCTAACGGCGATTAACGGCGGCAGGGGAGCCATAAGAATGAGTGGCGGCAATCGCCTTACGGGCGATTAACGGCAGGGGCCATAAGAATGAGTGGCGGAAATCGCCTTTACGGCGATTAACGGCATCGGGCCAGGTCAATCGCCTACGGGCGATTAACGGAGGCAGGAGGCCATAAGAATGAGGCGGCAATCGCTTTACGGGCGATTAACGGCGGCAGGGGGCCATAAGAATGAGTGGCGGCACCGCCTACGGGCGATTAACGGCGGCAGGGAGGCTATGAATGAGTGGCGGCAACGCCTAACGGGCGATTAACGGCGGCAGGGGGCCATAAAGAATGAGTGGCGGCAACGCCTTACGGGCGATTAACGGCGAAGGGGGCCATAAGAATGAGTGGCGCAACGCCTGGCGGTCGATTATTACGGCGCAGAAAGGCAGAATGAGTGGCGCAATCGCCTTAACGGGCTATTAACGGCGGCACGGGGCCATAAGAATGAGTGGCGGCAACGCTTTACGGGCGATTAACGGCGGCAGGGGCCATAAGAATGAGTGGCGGCAACGCTTTACGGGCGATTAACGGCGGCAGGGGCGATAAGAATGAGTGGCGTAACGCTCACGGGCGATTAACGGCGGCAGGAGGCCATAAGAATGAGTGGCGCAATCGCCTTTACGGGCGATAACGGCGGCAGGGGGCCAAGAATGAGTGGCGGCAACGCCTACGGGCGATTAACGGCGGCAGGGCGTCAAGAATGAGTGGAGGCAACGGCCTTACGGGCGATTAACGCGGCAGGGGGCCATATAAGAATGAGTGGGCGTAATCCTACGGGCGATTAACGCGGCAGGGGCCATAAGAATGAGTGGCGTCAATCGCCTTACGGGCGATTAACGGCGGCAGGAGGCGATATAGAATGAGTGGCAATCGCCTTATGGCCGATTAACGGCGGCAGGGGCCAAGAATGAGGCGGCAACGCTCTTACGGGCGATTAACGGCGGCAGGGGCCATAAGAATGAGTGGCGGCAATCGCCACGGGCGATTAACGCAGGGGGCGATAAGAATGAGTGGCGGTAACGCCTTACGGGCGATTAACGGCGGCAGGGGGCATAAGAATGAGGGGCAATCGCTTACGGGCGATTAACGGCGGCAGGAAGGCAGAATGAGTGGCGCAACGCTTCCGGGCCATTAACGCGCAGGGGCCATAAGAATGAGTGGCGGCAATCGCCTTACGGGCGATTAACGGCGGCAGGGGGCGATAAGAATGAGTGCGCAATCGCCTTACGGGCGATTAACGCGCAGGGGCCATAAGAACGAAGTGGCGCAATCGCCTTACGGGCGATTAA